AATAATCCCTGAAAAAAAGAAATTGTCAAAGCACCAATAGCCCTAGGCTCAGTAATCCACTCTGCATCATCACTCTCGATTCGATGGATTGAAAGAACATGCCGCTTCTTCCTTACTGAAGCATGAAAGAAGCGGGTGTTCGAATCCCCTTCTCGAAGCCAGCAGACACGGGACTGCTGTCTCATAAAGGACTCCTCACACTGTAAAGTCTGTTACAATTTCGCCCTTGCCTGATGAAGGGCAACGCAATCTGAAGGAGACCTTGACTGATCATGTGCCACCTCTCTCCTACTAACCTCGGCCTCGGCCTTGACCTCCTGAACTCGCTGAAACACATTGTTGAACACTTCCTTGTTCCAGACTTTCAGGGTTTGTTTCAACCGAATAAGCTTCGATTGAAACGCAGACATCCCTGAAGCGAACACAAGAAGGGTCCAGCTCTGCCGCACAGCCTCCAAAAAATCTGTGTCTGGTCCAAGTGTGAAGAAACTTGAACTGGCTCGACCCTCTACTCTGACGCTGATCTCCAGAAATCAACAATGGTGAATGATCTGAACAAGTCCGATTTAGGTGCGCAACCCGAAACACAAAAAAATAAGAACTCCACTAAGCATTCACCATTACTCTATCTAATCTCCTCCAAGTACGTCCATTCGTCTATGTGAACGGAGTACCCATAAACCCAACATCCTCTAAACCACTGGACAACAAGGCTAGGAAAAAAGCATTAACAACAGACTGAGACTGTGTATGACCCCTCGAATCTTAGAATAGGACTCAACAACGTTGAAATCCCCACCAACTATCCATAGACCATCATGAATGCTCTCAAACTGTGTCAAGGAATCCCACAAACCCTGTCGAATAGAAGCTACGCAACTGGCATACACAAAAGAAATAAAAACTGGATCCGGTATGGAAGAATGTCGCATCTGGCAGTGAACCACCTGGTCATCGTCCTGAAAGAACCTCCAACTGAAAAAAGGGAAGACCAAAAGATCCAAATTTTACCTGAATTAGAGCAAAAACTATGCTCCACGTGCAAACAAATCTGAAATGACTCCAACCGATCTCGATCAACAAAAGGCTCCAAAATACAAAACATCGATAAGTGGTGTGAGCGGATCAGCTTCCTGAGCCTTCTAATCGAGGAGGCTTGACTGATCTCTCTGATGTTCCATATGAGCATACTAATCATCAGAAAGGAGTGGAAGAACCACACTAAGCGTCCCTCGGCCAGTCCTACCACCTTTACCTCCTCTGCCTGCTCTACCTCCCCTACCAATACGCTGAGATCTACACAACGGGACCTACCAACCGAACTGTGAAGCATCATAAGGCACTAAAGCTCCTCCAGGCTGAGAAAGGCCTTCCTACAAGTCAGAAAAGGTTCCAACAACACCATCCAATGACTCATCAGATGATATATCTCCAGTAGAGTGGCTCTCAACCCCAGCATACAATCCAGGGTTGAGAGGAATTTCAGTCAAGGTGGTACAATCAGTGAGCCGACTAGAAGTCCCAACACCTTTATCTCTACACCTTAATCTAGTATCCTCAGAAACTAACACAACGAGGGGACTCTAAACCACTCAAAGCTCACGGATCGTCAGACGAACAACTGGGGTAGTCATAGGTCCATCACGCACTAGCTCAAAAACTGTGTCAACTGAATGATCAAGGCACAAACCCTGCTCTTGCACAACACTAGCAGGGATAGTTTCAGAACTGACCACAACCACAGGCTCACCCACAATACGTGGCTTAACAACAACTTGGACAGGAGCTACTGAAGCAGACTCTACAGCAGTAGCAACTATGGCCCTAGGGGGAGGAACAAAGGTAACAACATCTGTCATTCCCCTAGAGGATACTCTAATTTGTTTAGTGCTTCTAGGAGGAACAATAGGAGTTGGGGCTCTCTAAATGGGTGCACCCTCATGTGGTTTAGTCTTTTGTTAACTATAACCTTGACCCTGCTGTAGCTGGTCTCCACTGACCTTCTCTCGGGGCTAGGAATGGGTGATGCAAATTTTCATTGAATGGCCTAAATGCCGACACTCAGTAAAATACTACGGTACATCCTCGTAAAACACATTCTGCCAAAATTCGGTCTTCTGTCTGCCTATCCTAATCCTTGGCACCCATCGTCATGTGACATCATACTCAACCAACACCCTGGCAATTGAAGGCCTACTTAAACTCGTTGCGGCCTGGTCAACATCCTCCTCAAGGTCGCACATCAGGAGCACGTGTCGGCTATTTAATGAATAGGCACTAACCTGCCCCCTCAATCCAATCAACTGCAAAAATCTCTTGATCATTTCCATCGGAGGACGGCCTCGGGTAAACTTGTCCGCCAAGGCCAACCTGAAAGGAGCTGCGAGACTCTCAATCTCCTCATCTGAAAAGTCAACTACCGGGGCACCCCTGTACTGTGTGACGGGGCGGGGAACTCGACGAGTAGGTTCGTCGGAGCCAGGGGTGGCAGATCCCCTCAAAACATCTATGAATGACTTAGGTGGTCAGGTTGGGTCGAGGGCAGAACCAGGGGGTCGGTTCCAAGGATTATGGGTGGTGGGTATGGATGGTTTTGGAGCACCAGGTTGTGTTGGGTTTCAGTCGATTAGGTGTTTAGCTTGAGGAGGTTGGCGAATGGTATTAGTTGTGGGAAATGGGTCGGATTTGATGATGGGATGGGCAGATTGAAAGATGGGTCGAGTTTGCTTAACGTGATGTAAGTCGCCAGCAGTGGGGTGGTGGATAACTCCGCCAGTATAAATGTGTGCGCCGGGAGGGGGAGGATCGGGTGGTGGGTTTAGGCCGGTGGTTGGGTCATCACCGACAGTCAGATTGGCCATGGGGCACATCGGTTTAATTTTTGGCTATTTGCTAGGTAGTGGGCAGTTGGTGGGGTGAGCAGTTGGCTGGATTGGGGCAGTGAGGGTGGCGTGGAGGAAGGGCTAGGATTAGGGTTAAGGTTAATTACATGAGATCCAATTCAAGAGCATTGGACCGCCTGCACAATCGTCAAGGGTATTGTGCAGTCGGTGAAAGGCAGTCAGTGGCTTTGGCTTTGGTTTTGGTTTCACTGGTGTATGGCTTTATCAGATCTGGTTATGTTGGTCAAGGATGGGGCTAGTTATGTCGGTGGGGGTTAGGAATCTGGTTATGTCGCTGGTTATGTTTGGTGTGAGATATTGTTGGCGTATAAATAAAGCTCACCAGGGATCAGTGGAATGGTGGCAGTGGGTTGTTCAGTGTTCGGTGCCTTGGACTGAGATGATGTTTGTCGGTGGGCAGAGTTGGGCAGGCTGTGGGGTGGGCAGTAGCGTTGTAGGCTAGTCTTTCAGGCGGTGGGTTGGCTGGGTTGGGCTGGTGGCTGCGACGTGGAGGAGGGGGTAGGAGCGGGAGTTTTGGTTGGAAAAAGCGACCGTCGGAGAAGAACAGCAGCCGCCGGAGAACAAACCGCAGTGGCAGAAAACGACGAGCAGCCGCCAAACCCTAGTTCACCACATGGGATTACCCAAGTTATGAAAATAAAAGAAGAGACGGGTATAGAAGCAGTGATACCTTTCTTGTTGGACAATACAGTACATTCAAATTTTTTAAGGTCCGATGTCCAGCTATCTCTCTTTGGCTTAATTAGTTATTCTTATCAAGATCTTTTTCTAAGCTATGATGTCCAGCTATCCCCCTTTGACTTAATTAGTTATTCTTATCAAGATCTCTTTAAGTGATATCATTATCAGAGATGATTTCACATCAAGAGCTTTAAAAATTGTAATTGACTCACTCAAAAGATCTAAACGATATTAAAAATAAAAAATTTCAGGTAATAATGTATCTTATGCCCCATGTGGAACAATTCTATTGAGACTTAAAATGCTAACTTTGATCAATAATTATTATTGATTTACATACGGTCCCAATATTTATTGAAACTCATTACATATTCGATTGATGTAATTGTCGAAGTCAAAAAATTAAATCAACATTTTAAGTCCAAATAATATTTTTCTAATAAATCACACCCCGTGTATAAGTGGGAGGTTCTCTTATAAATAAGACTAATACTACAAAATTCAAATGAAACTCAAAAAATTACAACTCAAATACATTTTATCCCTTAAATGAGTAGGTCTCATCAATTTTTTCAGTGGGATTCACTCGTTCCACATTTATCCAATTGATGATATGTATTTGTGTTTTAACTTTTTGGGTTTTATTTGAGTTATGTAGAATTTTTTTATAAATAATGAGTTCCACTTGCATTAATGGTAGATGATTTAACAATGAGTAAAATTGAGCAAAAATATAATGAAAAGTATCTTAATCCCATGATATTAATGGTAACTCCATTTTACCTGAAATCAAAACTGCATCACCACGTAGATCAAGACAGTTGTTCGCTCTCTTTTCCCTCTGCTATGGGAAATTAGTTGTGTCACCATCCAATAATATAAGTAGAGAAGTGAATCTTACAAAGTTTAATACTTACCCTCTATGCAAGACAATAACCACTTATGTAAAAAAATGAAGTTTATTTTGACCACTTTTTGGTTTATCACTATACAGTGCCACCATGTATTAGCGGTGACGTAATGTCACCACAAGACCTTGACTTTTAAATAGTCATCGAGTTGGTGTCAAGTAGTTGAACTTGAGAAGCAGGCGATCTCGCTTGCGGAATCTTTAGTGAGTCCCTTCAACACGTTACGCGGGAGGGGAATGAATAAATATTGCTATTGACTTGGTTTTTGAAACCTCGGTTTTTGGTGCTTAACTTAATTTCTGGTGGTGCAACCTAATATTTAAACTAGCCCGTATTAATTATATACAAATTGACAGCTTGTCGTTCCGAACCTAATCGGGTACAATTGTAAAAACCTCACATATATAAAGGGCTTGATCTCAGTTGCTTCTTCCCCATATTCGTATGCAACCAAATTTCTGGTTTAAAACTCTTCCTTTAATTTGCCTGGACAACACTATCAAACATGGAGGTAACCTTGTATCCAATTCCATGAACCAAACTTCTCTTGCTGTTTTTACATTTTTTTTTTTTGGTTTTGGTTTTTCTCTTTTGTTTTAGAGCTAATGCAGTTTGATAGGTAATCATGTTGTTATATTGGATGGTACAGCAAAAGATTATTATTAAGATGCAGATGAACAGCGACAAATGCAGATCGAAGGCCATGCAGGTTGCTGCGGTGGCAGATGGTACGCTCTACATATTTAAATACTAAAATTTTGTTTTGGTGTATAATTTTAGTTAACCCGGAAGCATTTTGCATTATAACTTGGAATGACTTATGGAGAACTAGAGTCCAAAGAGTAATGCTTAACTCAATCTTCTATATGAGTTTTATTTTGATTATGTGATAGGAGTGAGCTATGTGAAGATAGAACGGGAAGCTGATCAGTTGGTGGTGATCGGAGATGGAGTTGACTCAGTTTGCTTGATCAACTCACTCAGGAAGAAATTTGGGAACGTCACCCTAGTGAGCGTGGAACCAGTAAAACCAGAAGTTGTCGAGGAGAAACCCAACGACGATCCAGTTCCAATCCAATGGCAAACCTGGCCATATCATCCACAGTTTTATACGTGCCAACAAGTTTGTGATCCAAACCCACCTAGTTGCTCTATCATGTGAAAGAGCTTTAGGCGATTATGAATGTGTTCTTCCCGTGTTGTTTCTGTATTAGAGGTTTGTGTGTATAAATACAACATGTGGGTGTCAACAGATTGGTTATGGATCCGGTTTTGCTCGGTCCAAATAGGAATCAATTAAGAAGGAAATCTCATCGGGTCCGAAAAACTCAACTAAAACTGTATTTTTAAACGTACATGATAATTTCAACTCAATATTTGGGTTTGAGTGGTAAGAACTCATATATTTTTCGCTCAATATTTAGTTTTTGGTAAATCTAGTCTTCAGCGTTCAGAACACGCGGTGAGACCTTAACTTCGACTTTGAGGTAGATGCGGTAAGTCTCTTGCAAATAGTTTTGTGGTGCTGCAGGGTAATACTCTCTACAGTGGCAGGCCAAGGTCAAGCGGGGCTAGGCAAAATTTTCATATGAAACCCTATTAATATTTTGTCTATTACTATATTTTATTTTTAATTATTATAATTTTTTATATTTTTTTGATCAAGTTTTTATACTCAAGTTTTGACAATAATATTTTTTAATAGATAATATTGTTAATTCATTCACTCTTAATTGATTGTAAATAAATTTCCATCAATTTAAGTTTTTAGCAAATAATTTAATAATAGAATATGTGAGCAAAAATAATTTTAAGATAACAAATTATTATTCTTTACCCATGAGTAATGTTCACATATGAAGTATAAAATTTTAAAAACATAGACAATTTAAGTATAAATTATTTGGACTGAAAATTTATATTAAGACAAAAAATGAATCAATTTTATAGATTTTCAACACAAGAAATAATGAATATAAATTTCCTATGTTAGTGAGTGAAATACAACTATGAACACACCCAAAATATTTAGAAAAATTTAAATCAAAGCTCACACGAAAAAGTAATTTTGGACCAAAAAAAATTATATATTGATTTAAACTATTAAAATTTGAGCCTTAAAAATTTGAATCATATCTAAATATAAAATAAAACATAAAAAATTAGGCCTACTATACTAAAAAGATAAATATTGTGGGGGCCTTTTAAAATTTGGGACTCTAGGCAAGCAACTTAGTTGCCTAAAGGTTGGACCGCCCCGACTCTCTAACAAATATGTGAAATAACCTATTTGTATATCCATTTTGAGAATTAAAAACTCAATTTTTGTAAATTAGCTATTTACATGTCAGTTATATTAGATCATAAGTGGATCAAATATTAATATATAAACAAAATCAATCGAATGTGATGTGATGGACTCTCATTCAAATAATTAGTCAAAAATAATAATGTACATTAAACTTAAAATAAATAATGAATTGATAATAAATCTCTACAAATATTAAAAATTATTATTAAATCAATGATAATGATTTATCAAGTTAACAAATTAAATTAATATTTTAAATTTATATAGCATTTCTCGTAAACAATCATTGATACTCGGTTGGTCTTGTCAAAACCATGGACTTGCTAACGTCTTTTTTCATTTTTATTTGTATAAATTCGAACGTGGGACATGCACTTGTGTTTTTTATTTTGGCAAGCGGTACGTTACAATTTGGGGAAGTCAGCATGGAAACTTCTCCACCACCCACATTTTTAGTTTGAGTAAACTAGGACGATTTTGTGTTAATTAAATTTTTAACTTAATTTTAATATCAATTTAGTCCCTCAACTATGTAATTTAATTCAATGTGATTTACCTCTTAAGATTGGTTCTATGATTGAGTCTGATTTATAATAGTTTCAAATGTCTCAAATTCAATTCTTTTTTACACTCTCTTAGGATCAGTCACTCTTATTTCTTAGGGATATGCTTCAACCCAGCTCAAATATGGTGACAACTGCTGGGCTTGAGAAAACAGTCGATGCAACTCTGGACACCTTATAGCAACATAAAAAATTCAATGTGATTTTTCAGTCTAAATTCATTGGCAATTTTAATGGAAAGTTTCGCGTGCACATCACTTGTATATTTTTAACTATCCTAATTCGTAATTCATGTAATGTGCCCGTGAGACTTTTTGTCAAAGTTAATTGTAAATTTGAACAAAAGGGTCACACTGAAACTACCATAAATTACCTCCAATTTTGATTTTTTTTTTTTTTGAAGAAAATCTGCCTTCCAATGTGTGTCAAAATCGTTGTTCACTCCTCCGTTCCCTTTACTTTNTCCAATTTTGATTTTTTTTTTTTTTGAAGAAAATCTGCCTTCCAATGTGTGTCAAAATCGTTGTTCACTCCTCCTTTCCCTCTACTTTAAGAAATTGTCAAAGCTAATTTAAATGATAATAGGAACAAACTGTAAAAAATTCAGCTGAATTGGACCTCTCATCCCTTAAAAAAATACATGCCTAAACTTATTTATAAATTAGATATGGAATTTGTAATTTCAAACAATTCTCACTAAAAATTTTTGGTATGAATTTAATCCTAACATTTGGGAAAGTTCATTTTCATTAGCCATATTCAATCCAGGGAAAAGGAAATCTCACCAGATTCAAAAACTAAAAAAATTGTAATTTTTAAATTACATAATATTTTCAATTCAATTTTGTCAAATTGGATCATAAGCGGATCAAATATCGTATGTAAACTTAAATTAATCAAATATGATGTGACAAACTCTTATTGGAATAATCATCGGTCAAAAATAATAATATACATTAGACTAGACGCATTTCGTATAAAAAATAATGATGAGTCATGACCTCATTGGTCTCTGAGGCTTGAAGTCTAAAAGAGGCATCTCTCAACCAACAGATTGACATGGGCCATTTATCATAAAATTCTTAGGAACCAAAAGGGTAATTATTGTAATGTTATTTGGACTTAAAATTTTAATTTAATTTGTTGATCTAATGATGTGGTTACACTGTAACTGTTGGATTGACATAAAATTTCAATGTTTGATGAGAACTAAAATCAATCCAAGGGTCATAATTAATTAGGCTAATAAATTAGATTATAATAGCATTGAAATAAGAGCAGTGAATTTGAAGAGGCATATGTCACCACTATGGTTTACATTCCCAGTGCAATTCTTATAAATACAAGTACCAAAATCAAATTATAAATCCCAGAAACAGCATTATAGCAAGAGTACCCAATAGTAGTATCTAGTTTTTTACTTGCCAATGTAGACCAATACAGAATGGAGTCCAAAGTTTCTATGGATGATAAAGTAGAGAAATGGATAAAACACTACAGCAGTTCTCACAAGATTTTACTTGTCGGTGAGGGAGATTTCTCCTTTTCAGCATCCTTAGCAGAAGCATTTGGATATGCCTTAAATATGGTTGCTACCTCTCTTGACTCTAAAGGTATGTCATAGTTTCTTCTCTTTGGAGCATTCCATTCCATGACAGTATGATAATACTCGCTGCAAGAAATTTTTGAATAGCCGGCATTTATAAACACCTGCAAAGTCCATACAAATGTCAGCGATGAACATTTACAGCATTTGTTGCAAACAACATCTAATACTGCCGCCAGGAAAGATGCCGGCATTTGTCTCGGCGAAAAACCAAACTATGTAGATAATGATAGATCTCTTTTGATTGAAGCATCGTATCTCTAAAACTTTATTGTATGCAAACCAAAGAGACATTAGGGGAAAAGCATCCTACTGCAGTGACCAACCTAAAGAAACTGGAGGACTATGGGTGCAACATTGTGCATAGAGTGGACACCTGCACCATGAGCCAACACCCTCTACTCAATCTGAAAACATTCGACAGAATTATATTTAATTTTCCTCATGCTAGTCTCCTCTTGTCTAAACACAGCAAGCTCCAAATTCAGTAAGTTACATCTAAACCCAACAAAGGATGATGAAGACACAGAGATTTATAACCTTACCTACTAAATCTCACTGTTGAGGCACACCACAAGAGCTTTTGACCCGTCCCACGGAGTTTTAAAAAGAAAGTATCAAATAATAGTTGATTTCAAAGTAATTCTCAAATTTACGTCTTTTTTAAAAACGTAAAATAGACTGACGTTTTTAACACAAAGACTGTGGCCCACATTCAACCTAAACACATCAAATGGATTGACGTCTGTATTTAAACACGTCAGTCCATTTGACGTTTTTAAATAGACTACCTTGACTCTATTTTTCCCTCTTCTTTCCTCCTCTCTTATTTCCCCCGAATTATCTGGTCTGAGCTGAGCCTTAACCCACGCTTAATCGCTTTCTTCCCCCAAAACTAGTCATTTGAGCCCCCCTCGAAGAACCAGCGTTGCAGAACCACCACTATCGACTGACCACCCACGTCCACACAGCACCACCCAGCCACCACCCAACGATCAAAGCCCCAAATCCAAGCATCACCATCGAGGACCACCACCACCTGCTGCTCGTCCAACATAGGTAAGTGTGCTGGTTTTTATTTGAAATTTGTCTATAGCTTAAGATTGGTAGTTGAAATTCTACAATTGTATAAAATTGTCGATTAAGGCCTTAGTACATCTTTATTTCATATTTAATTTAGTTATACATATTTAATTTATATGAGGTACATATTTAATTTTTTTCACTTTTTCTCACTCTAACAACGAGGATGATATTTAGATTGGCAAAGGAAAAAAGTTAAACNGTTTACATTCCCAGTGCAATTCTTATAAATACAAGTACCAAAATCAAATTATAAATCCCAGAAACAGCATTATAGCAAGAGTACCCAATAGTAGTATCTAGTTTTTTACTTGCCAATGTAGACCAATACAGAATGGAGTCCAAAGTTTCTATGGATGATAAAGTAGAGAAATGGATAAAACACTACAGCAGTTCTCACAAGATTTTACTTGTCGGTGAGGGAGATTTCTCCTTTTCAGCATCCTTAGCAGAAGCATTTGGATATGCCTTAAATATGGTTGCTACCTCTCTTGACTCTAAAGGTATGTCATAGTTTCTTCTCTTTGGAGCATTCCATTCCATGACAGTATGATAATACTCGCTGCAAGAAATTTTTGAATAGCCGGCATTTATAAACACCTGCAAAGTCCATACAAATGTCAGCGATGAACATTTACAGCATTTGTTGCAAACAACATCTAATACTGCCGCCAGGAAAGATGCCGGCATTTGTCTCGGCGAAAAACCAAACTATGTAGATAATGATAGATCTCTTTTGATTGAAGCATCGTATCTCTAAAACTTTATTGTATGCAAACCAAAGAGACATTAGGGGAAAAGCATCCTACTGCAGTGACCAACCTAAAGAAACTGGAGGACTATGGGTGCAACATTGTGCATAGAGTGGACACCTGCACCATGAGCCAACACCCTCTACTCAATCTGAAAACATTCGACAGAATTATATTTAATTTTCCTCATGCTAGTCTCCTCTTGTCTAAACACAGCAAGCTCCAAATTCAGTAAGTTACATCTAAACCCAACAAAGGATGATGAAGACACAGAGATTTATAACCTTACCTACTAAATCTCACTGTTGAGGCACACCACAAGAGCTTTTGACCCGTCCCACGGAGTTTTAAAAAAAAAGTATCAAATAATAGTTGATTTCAAAGTAATTCTCAAATTTACGTCTTTTTTAAAAACGTAAAATAGACTGACGTTTTTAACACAAAGACTGTGGCCCACATTCAACCTAAACACATCAAATGGATTGACGTCTGTATTTAAACACGTCAGTCCATTTGACGTTTTTAAATAGACTACCTTGACTCTATTTTTCCCTCTTCTTTCCTCCTCTCTTATTTCCCCCGAATTATCTGGTCTGAGCTGAGCCTTAACCCACGCTTAATCGCTTTCTTCCCCCAAAACTAGTCANCTTCTTTCCTCCTCTCTTATTTCCCCCGAATTATCTGGTCTGAGCTGAGCCTTAACCCACGCTTAATCGCTTTCTTCCCCCAAAACTAGTCATTTGAGCCCCCCTCGAAGAACCAGCGTTGCAGAACCACCACTATCGACTGACCACCCACGTCCACACAGCACCACCCAGCCACCACCCAACGATCAAAGCCCCAAATCCAAGCATCACCATCGAGGACCACCACCACCTGCTGCTCGTCCAACATAGGTAAGTGTGCTGGTTTTTATTTGAAATTTGTCTATAGCTTAAGATTGGTAGTTGAAATTCTACAATTGTATAAAATTGTCGATTAAGGCCTTAGTACATCTTTATTTCATATTTAATTTAGTTATACATATTTAATTTATATGAGGTACATATTTAATTTTTTTCACTTTTTCTCACTCTAACAACGAGGATGATATTTAGATTGGCAAAGGAAAAAAGTTAAACAATGCAATTGCCTAGTCGAAGTCCTATGTTATGTTCTAGTTTAACTATTATATTAGTTTGAAACCTCCAAAACTATGATGTACAATATATAGCAAATCATATACAAAAATCACAAGGGTAAGAAAAAATCACCAGTATGTATGGGATTGTGGATGATGTAATATGTCTGAATGGACCTGTCTAGAGAATAAGGTGGGCTGCTTTTACCAGTGGTATTCTGTGTTGCTTTCATTTTCATGCAACTAAACAAAGTGGTAATCTCTTGTCATGTAGTGAAGGTATTCTCTAGGTATTGTTGATTTTTGAATGCACATGTACATGGCTCTTGTCATGGTTTCTGAAAAAAGAAAACATACCCATATGCCAGATAAATAGAGAAGACACAAAATAGTCTCTTGTTTTGGAAGATCATGCCCTTAATCTAATGTGCACCCACGTGCAGTGAAACTCTACAGTTATGTAGGATCCTGGATTAATTCCTTAGTTGATTGCTCTAGCCAAAACTCTCGGAGTGGTTTGGTTTGGTAGGGAGGTAAAAGATCTTGTTATTGAGTAGATTATTGAGTTGAGTTGATTATTGATTGTGTTATTGAGTTGGGTATTGAGTAATTGGATTAGAATAATTGGTCCATTCCCTGAAGTGTATATATGTATGTTCTAAATTGCCAATGTGATCTTTCTTGGAAATGGTTATTGCCAATGCTGCCTT